CTCAGGAAATTGGTTTTGCAGAAGTTTGGATCTGGCTGGAAACCTTTGCCTTTGGGCACATTCTCCTCGAAGTTCCTGATGTAACTGTCTCTTAATCACTGAGTATTCATCTGTCACTCAGGCTTCAATGCAGTCATTCTTCCTTCTTTATGCTGCCTATGGTTATGTATATCAGAGCAGAAATAACCGAAGAATAGATATCTTATTCATTCTATTTTCAAATGCAGTAAGGCTCTATTTTTGTTAGAGGGAAATATACTTTTTTTTCATCACATGTCAAACACAGCAGTCCGAATAATTGCTATTAAACTTGATTGGCAAAGTTCAGCTTCAACAGCAAGAGAAGTGAAGAGAAAAAAGGCTACTGGTGCCTGGAAGTGTTATCATTACTTCTTTGTCCTTAGCACATCGTGTGGAGTGTTAAAGGCTTTTCACTCTGAATTAAACTAATTTTGTTCACGAGAAAAAAAAAAAAGTGAGGAATGCCTACCCCCATTTTTTAAACTAAGAAATGAGGGGAAGCTCCTGCTTGTCTGGTGCTGACCTTTGCTGGGTGTAATTGGAAAAACTGTCTGGGAAAATGCTATAAATAGAGGTGCTTGGGAATTAAAATAGATGTATTTCCCTCCTCATTGTGCCTTGAAATGCTTCAGAGCGCTCTTCAAGCTCCTTTATCTTCCCTTTTGAGTTGGAGGAGCCTTGTGCTTCCTGAAGCCACCGGAATGTGAGCCCAGGTTTGCTGTTGGGGCTGCCCAAACCCCCAGAGAGCAGCAGGGTGGAATCACCCCGGCCCCAGGGGGAAGGGCCTGGAAGGGGCAGAGCTCTGCCTCTGAACCAGCACAACCACCCAGCAGCCTCTCCACCTTCGTGCCAAACTCTCCTTTTGCGCCCTGCCAGCAGCCCAGCCCCAGGAATTAATTGCTCACCAGTCCCAGGAATTGTTCATCAGTCCCAGGAATTGTTCATCAGTCCCAGGAATTGTTCACCAGCCAAAAGAATTGCTCACCACCCCAAAGAATTGCTCATCAGCCCTAGGGATTGTTCATCACCCCAAGGAATTGTTCATCACCCCAAGGAATTGCCCCAGGGATTGCTCACCAGCCCCAGGAGTTCCTCATCACCCCAAGGAACGTCTCACCACCTCAAAGAATTACTCACCACCCCAAGGAATTGCTCACCACTCCAAGGAGTTGCTCCCCAGCCCCAGGAATGCCTCCCCAGCCCCAGGAATGTCTCACCAGGCCCAGGAATGTCTCACCAGCCCCATTGTCTCTCTGCAGGTGGTTGGGGAGTGGCGGTTCAGTCGCATCCACTGCGATATCTTTGTCACCCTGGACGTCATGATGTGCACTGCCAGCATCCTCAACCTCTGTGCCATCAGCATTGACAGGTGAGCGCTCTGTGCCACCAGGCTGTGCCAAACCCAGCCTGGCAAGTCCCAGCCACCTCTGCGTGCTCACATTTGACCTGGCACTCAGAGGCTTGAAGTTGGCTGGGAGTTCTTTGAAGAGCAACTTAAAGGATCTTGATGAGCTGTGAGCAGGGAATTCTGTCAGGAGGCACAGAAACGCTGCTGCTGGGAGTGCAGGTGCGATTGTCTGTGTGCTCCCAGGGGTTTGGTCCTTCTGGTTGTGCTCTGGGGTGGGGCACCTGGGGGGCAAGCGGGGGGAAGGAGAACTGAGCTGACCCAGCCTCACCCTCCTGGTGTCCACCTTGGCACACAAGGCAGGAGCTGGGTGCAGGGTGCAGGGTGCAGTGCCAGCCCAGGCAGGTGACACAGGGAGGTGTGTCCCCTGCAGGTGACACAGAGGGGTGTGTCCCCTGCAGGTGACACAGGGGGGTGTGTCCCTGGCAGGTGACAGCAGAGGGTTTGTCCCCTGCAGGTACACGGCCGTGGCCATGCCCATGCTCTACAACACTCGCTACAGCTCCAAGCGCAGGGTCACCGTCATGATCGCCGTGGTCTGGGTGCTCTCCTTTGCCATCTCCTGCCCGCTCCTCTTCGGCCTCAACAACACAGGTGAGGGCTCTGCCACCTGCAGCTGCTCCTGGGCTCTTCCTGGGTCCCCAGGGAGGAAGGTGGGATCAGCTCTGAGGTGTGTTTGAGGTGTCCTCTCCCACCCCTCACTATTTGCACGCTGGTTCTGGCTCTGTTTCATCCCCAGCTGTTCCAGAGCAGAGTTTCACACTCACCACAACCGAGCTGATGTAGGAGTTCACACAACCCCAACCTGTGCTACCTTAACATTTGCCCACTGCAAATTCAAAATCCTTCCTCTATTAAAACACACAAAAAGGAAAGGCACGGGACAAAACCTTCCCTGAGACAGGAGAGAAAAGGCCTGGCAGCTCAGGCAGCAGTTTCCTGGGAACACTGGGTCGGGAATACAGCATGGGATGGGGCTGTATGCATGCTTAGCTGCAAGGCCAGGAGCAGCCAGGACCCCCACAGCCCGAGGGGAGCCGGTGCCCTCGGTGGGGACAACAACCCTGACAGGCTTTGTCTTGCAGATGAGAAGGAGTGCATCATTGGCAACCCTGCCTTCGTGGTGTACTCCTCCATCGTGTCCTTCTACGTGCCCTTCATGGTGACGCTGCTGGTGTACGTGCAGATCTACATCGTGCTGCGGCGCCGCAGGAAGCGGGTCAGCACCAAACGGAGCAGCCACGTGCTGGACTCGGACACGCAGGCCCCCCTGAAGGTAGCCAGCCCCCTGCATCCCCCCTGCATCCCCCCTGCCCTGCCCCAAAACGCCCTGCCCGGCTGCACAGCGGCTCCCCAGGGCGGATGCTGTGGTCGGCGCTGGGTTCTCCTCTGGGTCCTCGCTGGGGCTCGGGGGCTGTTCCAGCAGCAGATCTGCACCAGGAGCTGCTGCACTAACCCACAGCACTGCCTTGGGCTGGGCTGGGGCACCCAAGAGCAGAGGCTGCACCACGGTCTGAGCCAGTCCTGCAGAATCACAGGATCATGCAATGGTTTGGGTCAGAAGGGACATTAAAGCCCGTGGGGCAGGGACACCTTCTGCTATCCCAGGTTGCTCCAAACCTTGTCCAACCTGACCTTGGACACTTCCAGGGATCCAGGGGCAGCCACAGCTGCTCTGGGCAACCAATTCCAGGGCCACCTCAACCTCCCAAGGAGGAATTTCTCCCTAACATCCAATCTAAACCCACCCTCCTCCAGCTTAAGGCCATTCCCTCATACCCTGTCACTCCAAGCCCCTCTCCATCTCTCCTGTAACCCCCCTCCAGGTGCTGCCAGGTGTCCCCAAAGCTGGGTGGCATTGCCTGGGATGCACAGCTCCTGCCTGGCAAGGAGAGCTCTGCAGGGACCAGCCCGTGCCAGCGGGAGCTGCGTGTGAGGGAGCCCAGCTGGGCGGGCTGGGTGTGAATGCACTTGTCAAAACACAGCTCTGGCAGCACACGCAGCACAGCCAGGGGGATGTGCAGTCCCTCAGCTCCAGCTCCAAACTCTGCTGCCTGGAAAGGAGGCAAAGAGAGACAGGGACACACAAATAAACACCAGCAAGGCTTCGTGGCCTCTTTGCTGAGCAGCACAGGGGGTAGCAGCCTCCAGCACTGCTCCTCCACGGCACTTTCCCATCCAGTTTTCCATCCTGCTCGGCACCTCAGCCACGCTGATGAATTCCTGATTCATTCCTTTGTATTCCCACGTGCCTCCCTTTACCAGCTTCCCTTCCCAACCCCTCTCTGCCTATGTAACCTCTGAGCTGGTGCTTGCCCCTTAGGACAAATGCACTCATCCAGAAGACGTCAAGCTCTGCACAGTTATTGTGAAGTCCAATGGGAGCTTCCAAGTTAATAAGCGCAAAGTGGTGAGTGTTAAAGAGAAGTGGGAGCTTTCCAGAGCCTTCAGCCTTCCCCTTCTCCCTCAGGACACGAGGTTAATTTCTGTAGGGTGGGAGAAAAATAAACCTAAGAGCAAAGGTTACCATTCAATCTCAAAATTGAAATAGTCTTCCCATTCCTTGGAGTGAAGCAGGGGGTTTAAGCTCACAGAGCTCAAAAAGCCAGCTTAAGCTCAGCTAAAGATCAGCTCTAAAAGCCACGGCATTTGAACATTTTTGAGCCTTTGATTTCCTTCTCCTCTCTGTTATTTGGACTTCACTGGCTTTGTTGGGTTTTGGTTGTTGATTCCATTTTTATTTATTTGCATTCCGAAAACCTGAATAAAATCTGTGGAGAGTGGAGACAGCGTCTCCCCCATTTCTGAGCCTCTTTGTGCCAAGAAGGAGAATCCTCCAGTGCAGCTCTGTCAATCCCACCTGCCCAAAATATCCACACACACACCACAGCCCTTTCTCCAGGCACCACGCAGGGAGGGACAGGAGGGACTGACTGTTCTCCAACATCATCCAGCTTCACTCTGTAAGGAATGTTCGTTGCTCCTCTCTGTGTATTTACCTGTCATTATGTTGTGGACATTTGATTCTTGTCCAGGAGGCAGAGAGTCACATAGAAGAGATGGAAATGGAGATGGTGTCCAGTACCAGTCCCCCTGAGAAAACGGCCCTCAAACCCACAGCACCAAGTAACCACCAGTTGATTGTGCCAGTTGCTTCTAATCGGGGCAACAACTCTACCCTGCAGGCACCCCTGAGCAGCCCTGGGAAGGTGGAGAAGAATGGCCATGCCAAAGAATCCCACCACACAGCCAGGGTCTTCGAGATCCACTCCCTGCCCAACGGCAAGACGAGGAACTTGCTCAAGGCCGTGATCAGGAGGAAACTGTCCCAGCAGAAGGAGAAGAAAGCCACGCAGATGCTGGCCATCGTGCTCGGTGAGAGCGTGCCCTGCCTGCCCTGGGGGCCCCGCAGAAATCCCGCTCCTTGTGTCCAGTGCAGGCCGATTTTCCAACCCCGCTCAGGATTCATTTCCCTTCACCCGTTGGAGAAGAGGCAGGCAAAGGGCGTGGGAGGGGTCCCTCCTCCCCAGCCACGCACGGCTGGCACTGCTGCACCAAAGGTGCCCAGAGCTGCCCCTCTCGGGGGCATCTGAGCTCCCAAAACGGGGGGAGGGAGAGCTCCTGGGCTTTCTGGAACAAAAGGCAGCAGAGTTGGCACCTCTGAAGGGTGAAGAGTTCCTGCTGTGCCTGGGCTCGTTACGCGGGTAGAGGAGTTTTTAGAAGCGGGGTGGAACACAGAGCAGGGCACAAAGGGAAATAAATAAATTCCCCTCCTAGCACAGGGAACCTCACTGCTCCCCCAGCCTGAGATCCCGCCCAGCTTCCAGCAATCAAAATCCTCCTCTCTCCTTTTTCCCCCCCCAGGTGTTTTCATCATCTGCTGGCTCCCCTTCTTCATCACTCACATCCTGAACATGCACTGCGACTGCAACATCCCCCCGGCCATGTACAGCGCCTTCACGTGGCTCGGCTACGTCAACAGCGCTGTCAACCCCATTATCTACACCACCTTCAACATCGAGTTCCGCAAGGCTTTCATGAAGATCCTCCACTGCTAAAAGCCACCAACAGCACCCGCATGTTTTTAGGAACGGAGGGGGAAGAGGGAGCCACGCCACCCATGCACAGCGGGGCAGCCGGGGAGGGGGCTGGAGCTCTGGAGCTGGGCACCCCTGGGTGCCCGAGCGCCTGGTGGGGATGGAGCGAGCTGGGAGGGTCGCTCACCCCGCTGGGCGACCTCTGGACCAGTCCCAAGGGCGCTTTTCAGAGCCAGCCTCGCACCGTGTTGGAAGTGGAGGTGCAAGGATCGAGGCGCTCTCGCTCGGTTCTCACCCGTGGCCACCCGGCCTGGAGTGCGCTGGACACAGAGTGGCCACGGGGCCACCAGGAGGAAGCGCTGGGTCGTGGGCACAACTCTCACCAAAGACAAGGCCACCCTTCCCGCTGGGCAGCAGGAGCCAGGCCGGGCTGGGGAAGCTCTGTGCAATAGCTTTGCCTTCACCTCGAGCTCGCTCGCCCGCTGTTCAACTGCTGAAGCCTTCAGAAATTAAATAAAAACCAACCCAAAAAACTTCCAGAGGTGCCCAGGCGGGTCGAGAAGGTTCTGCCACCCCCAGACCTGCAGCAGTGTGAGCCTACAAGCCATGGGTGGAAGGGAGAAGGGGGCATCAGTCTCATGTCAAACCATCGGTGTAAATAGGAATAGGAAATAATATGGATTTTGGAGCCCAAGCCAAAAAAAAAAAAAAAAAAAAAAAAAAAAAAAGAGATGGAGATAGAAAAACTCAAGGAGTGGAACCTTGTCTTGCATGGTGTACATCCAACAGGACTCCTCCATCTCCCATCAGTGATTTCTGCCCACCAGCATCTCATCTCCAGGCTCCAGGGGAGGGGTGGCAGCGTGGTGAATGTACAGACACGAGGACACTGTGCCAGGGGAGGCACCCTGAGCACGCCAGCCAGGCCAGGGCTGGCTCTTCTCACCTAAATCAGGGGCCCCAAGGAGCACCTCGGCTCTGATTTGCCTCTGTCTCTCCCCAGAGAGTGCAGAATAACATTGTGCCTAATTTAAATCAACAGTCAAGGAGATAAAACTGTGCATTTTGGAAAAAGCCAGAATAAAAACCCAAGGAAGCCCCTACCTGGACCAGCTCCTGTGTCCAAGCTGGACTCTGGAAAGGTCTGGATATTTCCAGCATCCCTTACCCTCTGCTATCTATTTTTCCATGGATTCTAGGAACTGACACCCCACAAGAGCATCATTTCACCACACTGACTCTGGCACTGCCAAACCCACGCTGTGCTTGCTACTTGTACTCAGTTCACACAGTATTTTGCAATATCTCTGTAAATAAAACACAGCAAGGTGAATAAAACGACATGGAAATAGGTCTGGCTAGAAATCCCTGCAGGATGTGGAGCAGCAGAGGGTTGCAATAGCCATAAGCAGGGGCAGGCTCCCAGGGTGCAGTTTCCTTCTGCTTTCTAAAGGAGTAAAAACACAATTGGGAGAGCAATAGAATCCCTTTTTTTTTTTTCTCTATGCAGTTTGTGGAATATTCACTCAGTTTCTGCTTCAGATGAGGTGAAGATCTGCCAAGGTTTCCTTTAATTCCCTGGATTTCCTGGATTGCTAACAGAGCACTTTTCCTGTGCTGGCAGGATGAGCTCCAGCTCTGATTCAGGAAGAGATTACACCAAGCAGCTCTAACACATAATCTCAGCTGTTTTCTAAAATTGAAGCAGCAGTCCCACCTTAATCCCCAGGTTTCTGTTCTAAACCTGGCATTCCTGGCACGGGCTGGAATCCAGGGTTTTGATATTCAGCCCACAGCCTTGTGTAACATTTGATCCTGGCTCTTCAGAGCTAAAAACTGCAAAATTGGGAATGCCAGCTCGAGACATCTCAGGCACGCATGAGTTTTTCTTTCTTCCCCCCACTTTTAACCAAACAAATCCACTCAGAGATGGGAATCAACTCAGACTTGTACCTCAGTATTCACAGAATGATGCCAAGGCAGGAGGTTTTTGGGCAGAAAAATAGCCCCAAGCTACTGGTGCATTTTTAAATGTATTTACAAGCAGAAAGATCTCTGACTTGGGAAATTAACACGTGGGGAGCTGAACAAAAACAGCAGATTTACATTTATAGACAAAAAAGCTTTAAAGCATTTGGAAATTGCCATAGGTGATGTTTGCCCTGTACTAAAGCCTGGTGTGAGCCCTCAGGATAAGTGGAATAATAATAATAATAATATCCCTCAGGATAATGTGGATAATACCTGAACTTTGTGCCATAATTTTACTTTGTGCCCAGTGTTAACCCAAGGAAAATCCTCATCTGTGTACCTTGCTCCCAATTTTTTTTTTGTGAATGTAGAGCAGAACCTTATAGCTCAGCCCACCTGAACCATTACCTGAAAAACTCTTCCAAAATGCCATGGAGGAAAAAAAACTGCTGGAAAAGGCCTCTGTCCTTCACATGGGCCAAAACATTTCCCAGGTGTGATTTCCCCAGAGCTCCAATATTCGCTGTGAGGAATTACCTGCAGCCCACCCTTCATCCCCAGGACATTTTCAGCTGCTCCTTCCTCACACTCCAGGCTGAATTGTGGGAATGTGAATATCCCCAGTGCCCTTGGGAAGGTGGCAGTGCCAGCTCTGGCCACCTCTGCAGCAGGTTTTCCTTCCCCATCAAACTCCTGCACTTCCAGACAACAAACGAAGCACTTTGAAACCCAGAACTGAGCCTTCCTTCCCCTTTAGGAGACAGCACCAAACCTCGTCCTCACCTCTGGCTTTCCAAGGAGTAAAGCAATGCCAGGAGCAAGGCCAGGGTGTGCTGGCACAGCGGGAACCCAGGGCTGGGGTGGGATGTGTTTGTAGGAACTGCTCAGAACCCATCGGCAGTCAGCTGCATCCTGCAGGACTCACCCCAGCTCTGAGCCTGGCAGATCCAGACCTCACTGTTCCTTCCACTCTGCAAACGAAAAAACAAAACCTCTGCTTCCCCAAAGACTTCTGCTGGTGATGGGAAGGGTCCTGAGCTGGTTTTTAAAACCACCTTAACGAGAAGATTTCATTTCTTTGTTCCTCCAGAACTTCAGAGCCTTGCTCTAGCCCCTCTTTTGTGATTCATGATTTATAATTGAAGCTTTAGTTCTGCTTATTGAGTCTTCCTGGTCCTGCTTTCCCTCCCTGTGATTCCCAGCTTGCTGCAGCCCTGGGTGGGGCTCTCTGCACCCCCAAACAGGTTTGAATTAAAAGCCAGTGAATTCTGCCTGCACTGTGTTTGCTGCTTGCCTGCTTTGCTCCCACTCCACAGAACTGTTTATCTTCCTGGCTGAAGAGTAAATTAACTCCAGTAGGTCTAACCAGCTTATCCAATCCTGCTGAAATAAAAAAAAAAATAAAATAAAAAAATTAAAAAAAAATAAAAGGAAAACAGGAAAAAATGAAGCCACTACCTCTTGTGGTGAAAATCTCCAGTGCAAACACGACTCCCAGGGGAGTCAGGAATGTATAAAATGCCCATCACAGGTACATGTGACACCAACCAATGTCTTCATGCAGCACTGTAATTAAATAGAGACTTGCACAAGCCACCCTGATGTCGATCTGATTGTTTTGTTGTGTTTTACACTCGGCTCTGAGAGCCACGGTTCTGCTGCAGAGTTCAAGCCCACGGAGGAAAATCTGCCTTCACGTGAGATCTGCCTTTCTTCTGACTTGCTTTTCAGACTATTCTCCCTTTTCCTCCCTGACCCCCGTCTATCCTTGGGAATTCTGGTGTTTGCCTTGCCTGCAGCCAGGGGAATCAGACATGGGGAAGGAAAGATGCAGAAAGGCACAGGCAGAAGGGAAATGGTTTGAGATTTTCTCTCCTCTCCCAGGCAGAAATGGGCTGGGGAGGGATGGGAGCAGGAAGGGGTGCAAGGCAGAGGTGCCCAGCTGAATTTATATATTATTATTAGTAATTTAATTATTTCATTTTGGAATATTTCAATTGATGCTGCACTGTTTCCTCAAGGTTTGGTGTCTGTGCAGGTGGGCCCTCAGCCAAGCTTAATCAGCACTTTTAAAATAAAGATTATTTTCTTTATATAAAAGAAGATGAGAAAAATAATAAAAATAAAACCCTTCCCACTGATAGGAAAGAAAGCTGTTTGTCCATCTCCAAGAACCAAGACACGAAAATTGCAGTTTATTGGCATTTCAGATCCAAAGGTTTCCTCAGCTTTGAGCCAACACAGAATAATCCCTGCCCTGGAGCCCTCAGTTAATGCAGAAACCAGAATGTCCCGACCTGCTGAGTTCAGATGAGGCTGAATTCTCCTTGTGGGATGATTCACCTCAGTGCCACCGTGACTGAGGGAAAATGGGGAGCTCCAATGCCCCCTCCCCTCCCAAGCACAGCAGAATAAATGACATTTTCAGATCAAACATTGTTGTTTGCAGCCTGTCTGGCCTGAGCCTGGCAGGATCAAAGGCAGCTGCTCTGAGATTCACCCTTCCAGCCAAATTTTATTTCTAAGCCTGTGGACGAAAGCCATTCACAGCACCCAAAAGAGATAAAAAGAATAATCTGCACATCTCCTGGGGCACCTGAGTGAGTCCTGCTGCTCCAGGTGAGGCCTGACACATCCATGGGTGTGATTTGTTCTGCACACCTAGGGGAAAAAAAAAAAAAGATAAAACCAGTTACTCTTCTTAAATTAACTCCCTGTCTTTAATCAAAGCTTCTTTTAATAATTCCAATTGCTCCCCCAAGTCTTTCTGATGATACCAGCCTGTCTGCTTCATAAAGAGCTTTTGACTCACAAATAACAACTTTCTTCACCAAAGAAAGAGTGATCACGGTGGACTAAACATAATTAAGGCATCATGAATAATTAACAGGCCTAGAAAATGCCTTTAAAGAGACTTTGAGAAGCAAAGCAGAACCATTTTAAAGGAGAGGAAAACATTCTGCCCCACCAAGCTGCCATGCTGGGCCCGGGATAAAGGAGTGGGTTAATGAGGGAGAGGGAGTGAGCACATTTCTGCTGAGCCCTCCTGC